CGCCGTTGCTCACAGACTCCTACAATGTTTCTTGGTTTCTTAACGGAAGAAATAACCGACAAGGAAACGAACATTGGTCATGAACGAACAATATTGCTCCATTCTCGGCGGAATGCTTTCTGACATCTGCAATGAAAACGTTGAAAGTCGTGCATTTAATAGATTCTATAATCTTGGTTTGTAGACTAATTCTACAAACCAAGAAGGGGGTCTACGTCTATTCTTTGGAATTAGGCGAAGACGAAGAAACTTTAGCACCCAATTGCTCTTGACCAGAGTTGGGCATTTAAAAAGCACATTAGTAGATTTGAATATACGAATGAAACGTGAACAGAAGTCTTCTGTTATTTATAAATAAAATTTGTCCAATTTTGTTCTTCACCAATATGTGCTCTAGATACCAAAGGCTTGTTTGTTGACAAGTTTAAACACTCTTCTCTCTACGTTTAGACTGTGAGAACGAAATAAATCTAAAATCACTTTCATCACCAATACAGTCAAGAATGTACCATTGCTTTTGTGGTTGCAGGCGGTTTATTTTTACGCCATTAAAGCCTTTGAGGCGTTGAGGTGAGACATAATCGAAAAGAGGTTGGAAACGCTGCTTCAGATCTTCTCTGTGAATTCATCGCGCGAGGAATTCGTCCTTGCGGAATCAATTTACGTTCCCCGGTAGCTGTTCCCCGAAGACCCGAAGACCTTCTATTTAAACGTTTTTTACCCGACCTCATAACGCAACGTAAGCCCGCGCGCGAAATGAGAATTGGCAACGGTATCTGGCGATCGATCGACGCCAAAATCGAAGTGCATCCTGTTTGCCTTCACGGCGCGCTGTCCCCGCTTTATTCGCGTCTCGGATCAAGGTTCGCCTCCGCGGAGGACGACGAGCCATCGTCGATGAAAAGGGCTAGGGGATATTTTAGATCCGGCTAACCGTGAAACGAGATACGTGCGAGTAGCCTGACTCACGCCAGACCAGGTTTGCGCAGTGATCGATGAAACTCCGAAGGATCCTCGAAGGTGCTGTTCCGCTTCGAGTGCAACCGTCATCTCGAGCGCGTTCACGATGTCGTTGGTTCGCGTACGTGTCCTCGAGGGAGAACATGATCCTCCCATAGGGCGCCGCACCAAGCGACAGATGATGTTTTCCCCTATGGGAAAAATAGAAACTTTTTGTGTAACTCGTTCGAAGGATTTTCAGGGAAGAGGAAGAGGATAAGCCCCGGCGAGAGAAATACGCTAGGCTCTAAAGGCCGTCTATTCTTTGGATATGATAAACGCTCGGTTCTCTAGCTCGCGAAATAAGCGCGAGCGAACCGTGACGGATATCGCCAAAGCATCCGTGAATTTATCCAACTTCACGGGTCTCTATTTATATTGGGAAATAATCTTGGTCCTCGAGACGCTTTATTTTCAACGTCAGCGTGAAACGTCTTGCTTCGCGTCCATTCCACGTCAAATGGATCGCTTTCCGCACTCGAGGTTTTTACGAGATTGAAGTATATCAACAGTTCGCGTGAAATTAGGGCACGTTTAAGTCATGACTTCGCTGCTATCGAATTTGTTCAAAAAGTGCAAGGCGCCAAAGTTCACGATGATTTCTTACTTTCGTGAGAACGTATTTCCTCTCGAAGCAAGCTAATAAAACTTTAACAATTACTAAATAGATGGAGCACGTGGCTGACTTTATAAAAGGTTAATCTCGCTACTTACTCGCCGAACTTTGTATATTAATAAATTTTCAATACGAGTTCGCCGGTAATGGCTTTGCTATTTTAATAGCTTGACTGCCCGATTGTCTGCAATCGGCTAAGCTGGTGGAAAATGAATACGCAAAAACTGAATTGATTATTATAGACAGGTATAGAAAACCTGACACAGGTGAAACAGGCGGCAGTTGAAAAAGAGGCACGATATATCCGGGTCGCAGGCGGAATAGGACGACCGGGATATTATGAAATATTTCTTTGAGGATTTCGAAGTATGAAGGAGGGAGGGGTCGAGTGTAGAAATAGCGTTTCGTTTGCCGCGCGGAGCCAAGCGTGGAAAGCTCCGCGTACGCAGCATTCAAGACCTTTGCGCCAGTTTCCATGAATATGATCCAGCGCAAAGCGTGGGAGGAAAGTTTCGTCTGCGCGACGGCTCTTTATCCGCGAAATTAACGAGATTCCATAGCCAGAAACGGTGCGCTTCTGCGATCTAACGGATACGAGAGGATGCCTTTCGCCCGTAGAAATTTCATGAACGATGCACGAGAGACGCGCGGGAAATTGTTATTGGCGTTGCATAATCCGACCGCGTAACATTGCACGAGGCTCGCGCCATTAAGGACACGTTCGCGGATTTTTTACTCAAAACACGCGAATCGTAGCGAGATCTTCGCAGCTATTGCACCTTTCACGCGTTATCTTTTCTTTTATTTTGCCCTTTCGTTCGTAGAAAACGATTTTCTCAGTCAGGTACTTTTTAGGGCCCATGACATTCAATTCTCGATATATTTAATTTCGTGTCACTTAATCTTTTCTTTGCAGAGATTAAATACTCTGCATATTCAAAAAGAAACATATTATTCATCGACAGAAGATAATAAGGAGTTTCAGCAAACTTTTTTGATGTCTAAAACATATCGTACTGTTACGAACCTAGTTTCTGATCGCTTACGAATAACTATCGTCACTTTCTTAGGTGTATATGAAAATATTTATCAAGTTCTGACGTAGTAAAAATTTACTTTAATATATTTCTTGGTAGAAACACCTCTCTATGTATCACCAATTTTGTGAATAATTTCGCGAGTTATAGATTTGGTTCCGAATTTTTTACCCTTATAATATTTTATTACCGTCGTCCGTAATGCATACGTATCTTTATCGTTGATTGAAAATTCATGCATAGGCGATTAAACATTTACATGAATTATTTCCTTCGTCACCGATGATTTGCATAAACTACGGTGTTTCTTGGGTCCAGCTTACGAAAAGGAGGAGGGAAAGAAGAATAATTGGGAACGATGTAGAAATCGAATAAACGGTGCTTGTAATTTTAAACGTTCGACCATCGTCTAACTGCAATTAATTCCTTGGTACCGTGCCACGTTGTTTTTTCAACGAATATGAAAATAAATATTCAAACGCATGCAAATCGAACCTGTCGCGCTGTTACGTACAGCCTATGCTGTGACCTGTCGTTCCTAACAGGAAGTAAAATTTCACGTTCGTGAAAGGTGATTTATTCGAAAGAAATAGATTTCGTTAGTGAAATATTTGTAGCAAAAGGAAAAGATATTGAAAATTAACAACCCTAGAAGCATTTGAAAATTATCGATTAAATAATTTAATGAATTTGTTGGATAGTATTAAATAATCCTTATTAATAAACACTCGGGTATATTTATCGTAATATGCACGAAAAATTGAAGACAATGTGCTACCTTTTGTTACTTCTATCTTCCCAACGCCTTGTCTCTGCAAATTATTCGAGACTTTGGTTAAAAATAAGTTACAATGGACGAAGCCTTTAAGGAAGAAAAGGAAGTCCTTTTCTGGACATTCAGGGAGCCTTAGACAACGTTATGATATTTTCATATTGAAAATAGCCTCCTTGAGGTGTTCAAAATATTTTGTTTAATTTGTTCATGAGAGTTAGTGATCCGAAACGTTAGAATTGCTACGATTCTGCGATCGACGCACAGGAATGCAAACTGTAATAAGCCGACTAGCGTCTCATCGACTTTGATGGTGAACCAAACGGTCGATTCACGCTGCTCCGTCCAATCGGCCGGGGACGAGTTAGTTAATTAGTTTAAACGGTCGAAGTTCGAACCACCATCTAAGACGGCACTTTGCACGTCGTCCCAGGCGTCTTCGTAACTCGTGTCCGGACGACGTCTACGTGACAGGACGAAACAAGACAGGAGATGACACGATGGCGCAGGCTCTGCATTAATGAGCGGCCAATCGAGGTCAATAATTGGTGGACGGGATCTCATCGAACGAGCCGCTTTTGATTTCTGACAGCCTCGGCACGACCATCAACGTTCGACAGTTGTCAATGGCGTGAAGCGTTATGGCGATCGATTACTGTGGAGGACTCCGATAATTGCCAACCATTTCGTACACTGCCTGTTTAATACTAACCTGTGCACGCAACGATCTCGTTCGCTAAGTATACGGAGCCATAAATCCTTCGATGGTTTTGTTTTCTCGTTGCACGTGAAACTGTGCGCCGTGTAACATGACTGCCGACGCGTTTGGATGATACTAATCGTTCGAAATTTCTACGAAGAGATATGACATGTAATTAAAATGATTTGATACCCTTTCGATTAATTAATATACTATAGAAACACGTCATATTGCCGCTTGGTGGACTTCTTCGCACGAATTGTACCATAACACCACGATTTTTAATAGACCTATTGGATTGCAATTCCTATAGCTGGTTAAGAGAAGTATATATAAAAATATACAGTATGTTCAGAGTGGAGATAGCTAAATTTTTCTAAAAAAGTGGAAAGAAAACAAGAAAATAAATCCTAATAACATGAGCAAGCTTACAATTGGAAATGAAAGCAGACAGAGATTTAAAATAAATAAAAAATACATAAGATGTGACCCTATCAATATGGCGGATGTACAAGTAGATGACACAGAAATAGTGTGTCGCAATTTTGAGAAACGTGATTAAGACTCATGAGTATTGGCAGAAAAAATATAACAAATTAAAAGAAGCTTAGCGGTAGAAGATGTAGAGTTAAAGGTACAAGCAGAAACCGGTATACAAATTTTATGAGATCTTGTAACAACCCATCCTCTGTTTGTTCGTCCTCGAACATTGCTTGAAATGGCTACACGAGAATAACATTTTACACCAAAAAATATACTTTAAGTTGGTTCGTTAATTAAGAGCAGAGAAATATAGTTTTCCTGAAATTCAATTCCTTGACATCCTGTTGTATTCATCAGATAAGTCGCAGCTAATTTTGACCGTTTTTTTTGCAGATCGAAATGGAAAGACGTGATTTTGTCGTGTGGATGATCCTCGCCTGCCTGGTCGGTGACGCATTGCCCCAGTACAGGGACAAGAACATAAGTAAGTGACAACATCTTTCTTGACTTCACGGCCAATTAAACGACCATACTTCGAAAAACACCAGAAACTAGTATGGCGAGTGTTACGATATAATTCAGACAAACAACAAGATGAAGAATAGGGAACCTAAAGATAAGAATTTATATTCCCGGCAAATAAATTTGAAAAAGTCTTCCATCCGTAGGATGGATTCACGTACCATCCAAGGCATTTTACTTCCAGTACCTTCAATTTTACTCGAGAGCCGTTCTACGACATTACGAAAGATGCAGAGTCCTAACATTTTCCACCGCTCGGTTCGTGAAATAGTTTTCCACGGGATTAAATCCCTGGAGTCGACACGAAGTTAATTAGAACCACGTGTCTCTCTACCAATAAGAGTTACACTGTTCACCGTCCTACCGTGTCATCCCTGTGTTCCACGTATTCGACGAAGAAGCTCCTTACGAGAAGCCATTTTCAAAAATTGGGTCAGATCGGAACCGTGAAATTCAATTTCTAAACTCCTTACTCAACACCGTGTTTCAAACATTTTCACTACAGCTACAATCGAAATAATTAACAGACAAAAAAATAGCTATTCGTTCATACGTAAAATGGAAACTTTCCTCGTTTTCATCAGATTACCATTTTTATCCGACGAGATGAACCTTTAGAAGTATTAACACGCTTAATAATTGAATCGTTATTTCGCCAACTTTTCGTATAAAGAATAAAGCTACTGTTTTAGAATAAAGGAAACCCTATTGTATATACGATAATCACATACTCCAATTTATTCGCCAGAGAATTTTATTTTTCGTATACTATAAGAAAATGTATTTTCAATTCCCTTTGAAACAAACGAAAAGATTGAAAAAGTTAAATGCAATTTCTGTAGACGTGTACGTTTCTTAAAAGCTTTCGTTAATTTCAATAGTTTTTATTCGAAATAATGCAGACATTGGAGAATAGAAAGGTGCGCTAAAGTTTGATTGAGTTATACTACTTAACTGTGGGAGTGGAGTAATGGAGTGTGAGAGAGAGGGGAATGAACCACTAGGGTGGACTGCTTATAGTCAGACGCACTTTACCCTCCGATATGATAGCCGCCATACTTTCCAGCAACTTTCGATGCGTGCATTGATCTGAAAACAGTTTCGAGTAAAAGTTACTTAGGTTGATAGTAACTTCCGAAGCACATATTTTCCAGTAATTGCGTTTAAGGACCCTAAGTTATAACTCCGTTTACCTACTTAAAGAGGATCTAAAGTTTTCTTTTCTGTGTAAAATCTTCGTCGAGGTCAGAAATATAAAAGAAAAAAACATGACGATACGATTAACACATTTGAGTAGATTCTTTGCAATAAACTTAGTAATAAACTTAATAAACTTATTCTCTTTGTTTTTGAAATACAAATAGAACTTGGTTTCATTTTGCAATTTCACTTTTCGGTAACTTTTACTCAATTGCATTATGTAAAAATGTATTAATTAATTATCATTAGCAAAGAGTGAAAACTGAAAAGTAGTAGCGGAAGGTTTAAAATTCTACGAGAAAAATTCTCAATGTACCAACTTTTTCCCCCTTAGTTTCAATGTCCCAGCTCTGCAATGTGTTAGAGGTTATTTTTTGTACAAAAATAAATGTTAAAAATTTGTCCTATGTATGTGCAATTGAGCAAGATGTAATAATATGTCTATCCATTACTAGTTCTTTCTACTTGCATCCAGAGTTATGGTCTGATTTACGAGAAAGCAGCTCTGGGAGGCTGGCAGTAAACAGTAGTGAAATCGGATACAGACTCGATCACGCATTCGCGTATCTTTTCTGGTAAATCGTAGTATAGATTTGGCAGTCTAAAGAATTAGATGAATGGATGCACAAATTCAACACAAATACCATAATCTTTTGAACCGTGTTTCTGATTCTAACTTTTGATAAAAAATGGCTTCTGTATAAAAATCGACAAAGACCTTCGCAGTAATTAAACCGTGTTAAAAGCTTAAAAGCGTATGACGAAGAGCCAATATACTGAAAGCTTTTGAAATCTCTGTCGATTCTAGGACACGAGAATTCTTTGATAGGATACTAAATGATATCGTATCTCGTTGGCAGAAATGTGTGGATCGTAATGGAGGAAATTTCGATCAATGGATATAAATTACGTTCGAAATATAACATATCAAACACGCGGACGCCGGAGGACCATTTATTTCCCACGAGTCTAATAGTAGGATCATGTGTCACGATGATCCTGCCAGTAAACGCAGGAAAACCCTTAAGTGGTAATAGAGTTGCCAGTGAAAATAGACGAATTGCTCTTCGTTAGAAGTAAATAAACAGTTTCAATAAAAAAATGTATCTTTTTTATAATTTACTTACTGAATGGTCCTAGGTTTCTGTTCCTAATTCAGCTAATTATTTGAAGTTCTCGTACTTCAAAATTTCCATACAAATTTTTATTTTAAAAACTGAAATCAACGAAGGATCCAGAACGGTTTGAAATATTTCAACAAGGACACCAGAATTTTTTCAACGAAATATCTTAGAGGGATGTTATTTATATAAGGGTTAAGGTTGATTATAGAGGATCTAGATGATCCGTCAGGAGTCCCATATTTTACGATCAGGGTTCACCTTCGAGAGACCCCCGACCTTGTCGTTTTCAATCGAACTATAAATGAATTTACAACACCAGGCCGGAGTACTCTCGAAAGGTGGACCGAAGTTTTGTCATGAAAATTTCGTCCGTCAATAATTCCCGATAAGACACCAGCACAATTCTAGTGGCGTACGTACACAATCACGCGCGTATGGGACGTATGTACACGGACCAGATTTTCTATCCGCTCGATAAACTCGACGCACCGAAATCGAGGGGCTTTGGAATTCACTCCCCGGAACTCAAAAGCCCGACGAATACCCCGTGATATTGGGAGCAGATTGGAAGCCAAGAATCCACCACGAGATTGAAAAGTTCACTCCCGATTCCCGCGTCGGCTTTTACCACGGACAAGACGGACGAATAATAAAAGTGCCAAATTAAGTGCGACCACGTAAGCGGAAAAACCCGACGCCCTCGAAAGGGAACGCGAAAACTCGCGTCGATTGTTACATTCGAAGTATCGGGCCCGATCATGACGAAACGTAATCTTACGCGCTCGTCGAGATTATGCTTTTCGGCGGCGATTTCGAGGTCGATGCGGAGTCGTATCGACGAGAATAAGTCCACGGATATTCTACCCCAAAAATACTGATTTTTAGGAAACTTCGTAAAAGCGTGTGTTTGTATTCGGGAACGAACTATCGTCTCTTTTACGGGAAAACCTTGTTTGGAGTTCCATGTAGTCCCAAAAACTTTTGTAGATATAAAAATGTTCGTTTGGAAAGTTGATTTACTCAAAGAAATTTTAGCAATCCCACTTCATATTTAACTTTGTATTGCCTCGAACAAAGAATATTAATATCATCTACACGTTGAGAAGAAATTTGCAGCCCGAAACTGGTTGTTCCGTATATCGCCGAATGTAAACAAACATTAAATCAAGTTCTATGATTCATATGTTGGCTCTATTCGTGGATGTTGTTATTAGTTTGCGGTGTACCATACTAGCCAGAGTGTGGCTTTAAAATATTCAAACTTCCAAAATGTGTTATGCGAAAGCGAATAATACGAAAGCTGTACATATTCTCCGGCAATTTGGTGACATACATCATTAATGAAAACCATGCCAACTTTCTCCGTTTACGTATATCACATTTTGAAAGGTTGAACATTATAAAGCCGCGCGTTGGTCAGTGGCAAACCGCGGACTAATAATAATATTCATAAATACAAATGAATATGAATCGTATAGTGTAATTGAATGTTTGTTTACATTCTGTGACCCGTATAACAATTACATGAACGATATACTAACAGCCAGAGAAAACACAACAGCGTTTCAATCGATTCCTTGAATTATTTTCCAATGGTCTTGTGTATTATTTCCTCTTTTTCTTTTTAACTTATTTAACGTTGTATCAACCTAAAAACCATCATCGATTCATCGAAATGATTTCGTTCCATTTTGTTGGATAAATAAAAATATCTTTACCCCGGAACTGTTTCAAATCACAATATTCTCCGCGAAACGGTCTACAGAAAGGGAACACAAAGGCTCCAAATTCCTTTCTTAATGCCATTCTAAAACGTTCGAGAGTTGAAAGTACCGGATAAAGGGTAGCTTGCAAGTTTGTTTCCGCGCAGAGTGATGACGCTCCGACTGAGAATACGTCGATTGAAATGCAAGCGACAGGCGTTCGAGGAAACTGTTTTCTTCGCGAGAAGAGTTTGCTCGATTTTCTGAAACAAACGCGGCTCCATGGAAAACAATAAACATTTCTTGTCGCTCTGCTAAGAAGAAACGTTGTCAACTGATCGAAAATGACCAGGTTTAAAGCCTATTTAAACACGATCCAAAATCAAAATCATTCTTAGTTTTTGAAATAGAAGTGAAGAAAAATTAAAATGTTTATTTTACACAAGTTATTTGAAACTGATAATGTAAAGTGTAGAATAATGAATTTTTCTTTCTTTTTATTAACTAAATACTGTTTAGATAGAATCCTGGTACGACGAAAACGTTTCATTACAATTATTATTATTTCTATGTAATGCATCCGGAACTCATTACAGCGGACTGACGCCATATAATGGCAGTCGACTACGAACAGAAGTAATTAAGGCGGAATCGAAATCAAGGTTTCCCTTAAACGAGATCGGATCGTCTCCAGGAAATTGGTACTTAATTGATATTCTGCAGGTGGGAATTGAAAATCTTGTTCTACTTGAAATCTCTCCGTCTCTAAATGGAAATCCCGTATTTTCATTCGACGAACGCGCAAAAGTGATCCGTATCGCGCCGGAAGATCGGTCTATTTATTTACAAAGCCCGTGCATCCGTATAATCCTACCATTCAAATGAAAATCCGCGCAAAGTGGAAGCACTCGGTGTTTTTTGTGTTACGACCATCC